AGCGTGCTCAGATTCATCGGTTGGCGTTGGAGAGCTCGCAGCATTGCGAATGGTATGGAACGAGGAAGTATTGGGCGAAGATGGGCCCCTTGGTTGGTGGCTATGATCCTATGAAGGCGTGTTGGACTTCGGAGATTGAGATTCATGGTCGGAAGATGAAGCCGACGTATTGCGAGGATAAGGTATGTTTGGCTGACTCCTGGCATTTCCACTGTGACTGAATACTCAAATTAAAGGGAGTGGATCGTGGGGTGTATGGTCATTGGATAGTCGACTTTGACGAAGGCGGGTGTCGTCCTTGGTGGGAAGGATTTACGGATAAAGTTCAGTGGATGACTAGACTACTCTACGTCTATTTGATAATTTTTTTCATAGGGATGCACGGCTCCAGGATCTGGTCTCCGGGTACGCACATTTCATCTGTGCTCGTGCCCAGTCGCAACTTACACGTTTCCTTGTGATAGCGCTTTGACGCCCACCTGATGAATCTCGACTACGCGGACGGATGGAACGTCATGTTTTCCTCCACGCCGGCCAATTTCAATGGGTTGCATTTCAATGGCGCCATGTCTTGCGTTAATGTGCGTTGTGCTTCCCCCACTTAATGTGCTTCGTTGAGCTTGATTACCTGTACAACAGAGTTACTTTGGCGGTGTTTTTGGAATCTGGGACATCGTAGATGGTGACTGTCTCTAGTTTGATCAACATGAAATGATTTTTTTGCTATGTAGGGAAGATGCTAGCTGAAGTTTAGGGACAATGTACAACACCATCAATTATATTTTTGTCCGTTGCATTCAATTACGAAGTTCGGGGAGAGCAGATAATTTTGGTGAGCACGGCGCTTCTGATCCTCCTCGCAGATCAGCCAACAGAAAGAAAACCTGTTTCCGGTCAAGGAGGCAAGCCCGCCAGGTAATCGCAGGCAATTTGGATGTTTGAGTTGCTGAGGGCACTGTTGATTAATGTGAATTGATGTGAAGCGTCTCCGATGGATGTCAACTTGACTTTTTACTTGCATGAGCTTCTTCGTCCTAAGGAAATGAACCACACAACCATCTGAGCAGCGAGCCATTGCCTATATCCAAGAATTTTCCTTGATCTTTCGAGATTTTAACCGCTCGTTCATGCTCGTTACCCTGTTGAAATGTCCAGGTCGTCGTGACACTCGGGTTGAATAGGGACCCTCGCAAACACGCGAGGGCTTCTGGATTCAAGTATATAACTACCTAAATACGTAGTATAATTTGAAATACATATCATCACATCAAGAATAAGGGAAAAAACACGGAGCAATGCAAACGTTGTCTTCACGAATGTGATCCGCTTGTAATTCCAAATACCCTCTTGTATTTTCTTTACCATTGCTTGACCACTTCTTTGAGAAATTTTATGAAGGAGTATTTATTCATAGTTGACAGACTCCCTATTACCTACAAGTTAATAAAACATGTGAACGAGAAACTTATTATTTTGAACTAGGACCACATTTGGACCATTCGCGATGGCACCTTACTGCGAATATTTGTTTCACCTGGGATTGCCAAACAAGCAATAGATGCAATTTACGCCAAATCCACCAACTCAAACCATTTACGTGACGTTGGCTTTTCGACGGCTTTAAATCCGTCTAGTGTCAAGAATCTGAGCCTTGACGCACTGGTTGGTACTATCTGAAATTCTGCCAAGCGGCTACAACATTAGAGTCTGACTCACCGCACATAACCTGATATCGTTTGGATCGACGCCTTGAGCAGCTTTAAATCCGCGTAGTGTCAATTATTTCAGCGTTGACGAAACGTTGACGCACTGGTTAGTACTCTATGTGATTCTGCAAGCGGCTCCTACATTAGAGTCTGACTCACCGCACACAACTTGATATCGTTTGGATCGACACTTTGAACAACTTTAAATCCGTGTAGTGTCAAGTATCTGAGCGCTGGGCATTGACGCAGTGGTCGATACTATATGTGATTCTGCCAAGCGGCTCCTACATTAGAGTCTGACTCACCGCACATGATAATCTTGTCTGAATCGAAGCCTAGAGCAGCTTCAAATCCGCCTAGTGTCAAGTATTTGAGAATTGATGCAGTGGTTCGCACTATATGTGATTTTGCCAAGCGGATACTACATTAGAGTCCGATGACTCACCGCACATGATAAATATCGTTTGAATCGACGCCTTGAGCTGCCTTGAGGAGGAGCAGCTTTAAGTTTGCACTGCCGTTCGTGGCTTCTACATCAGAGTCTAACTCATCGCACATAACTTGACATCGTCACGGTTTGGATCGACGCGTTGAGCAGCTTTAAATCCGCCCACAAGTGTTGAGTATCTGAGCGTTGACACAGTGCTTCGTGCTATAAGTGATTCTGCCAAGCGACTACAACATTAGAGCATGACTCACCGCACATGATAAATCTCGTTTGAATCGACGCCTTGAGGCTTGAGCCTCGAGTAGCTTAAATCCGTGAAGCGTCAAGTATCTGACCGTTAACATAGAGGTTCGTACCATTCGACTCTGCCAAGTCTTGCCTGACCATATCTAAATACTTCCTTGTTGTGCGGCCAAAATGCCCAAGAACTGCGGCCGTCCGAGGTTTGCCTGTACTATCTGCCGCCAAGAACTTCATGAGGTGCAGTGCGCGATGAAACCCACTTCTATCACAATAGACATGGTTGGTCCGAGCCAGCAAATGCTGCAAGACGGTAGTAGATACTCAAGTTTTCGAAAATTTGAAGGGGTCAAAATTGAGCTTTCTCGATGAAACGCATACCGAAACAAAGTCAAGCGTGGGAATTTAAAAAGTCCCTTGGTCCGTTCTCAGTGTATACGAAAAGTAACACACTCCCCAAATCGGGACAGCGACACATAGGGTCATAACGCGACACATAGGGTAAATTGCCGACACATTGATGTGTTCCTCCTTTCTAATGTGTCGATTTTACATGTGTTCGACACATCTGAATGTGTCGAATCTATGTCATCGTGTGCCTGCTCATCTGGCCAACTTCAGTTTCTTTTTTTTTATTACAAGTCCCCCTGTCCAAGTCCTTCTGTACCTGGGTAAATGGCAATATAATATGTATTCCTTATCTACGAGAAACACTTTACATGGGAAGGTAATAGTATACCTACATATGTAGAAGTAGGAAGTATCAACGTAGGAGCACCACGTCTCCCCTTCAATAACGACCCCTTGCTAATCGATTGTTTTGGGCTCGCGTTCAGGTTGTGTTCGTACGTCGGGGCTGGTTGTGCACGCTGGCGTTAAGCTCAACACGTCGGTGTTGGTTCGTAGAGGGGGGCGTTGGGTCATGTTATGTCGGCATCACGAGGTTTTTCTGGTGATATGGGGTATGCGAGGAAGAGAGTGGGGGTGGAGGATGGGGGCAGGCTGGGGAATTGTCGATGGTGCGATTGGGTTTGCCAATCGTGGTCGTGGGCACCCATGTCCGTTTGTCGAGGGTGGTGATGAGCCCCCGTGGCCCCGTGGACATTAGTGGGCGCTCGTCGTCGTCCGTCGATTGTGGGCCCTCGTGGCCATCCGTCGATCGTGGGCGTGGGCCGTACATAGAAGCTTGTCAATTGTGGTGGTGGGACCTGGTACCCAATCGTCAGAGATCGTGGTGGGCCATCATCGGCGTTCCTCGATGGTGGTGCTGGGCGCGCGTGGATGTTGGTGGGCGCTCGTCTCCGTCCGTCGATGGTGGTGCTGGCGGGCCCTCGTGGCCGTTCGTCGATCCTGGTGGTGGGCCCCGTGGACGTTCGTTGGTGGTCGTCGCCGTTCCTCAATCGTGGTGGTGGATCCTGGTGGCCGGTCGTCGATGGTCGTGGTGGTTGTGAGAAGAGAGGGGTAGTGACGTGTGACATCGCATTCGTCACCTCACCCAATTGGGATGTGTCCAACTGTGTTGCTCGTCCTCTTGTCGTCCTCTGATCCTCGACACAGTGTCGAGGATGAGCCTTATCCCCTTTCGGGGAGTGTGACGCCGTACGTATATCCTCCCGCGGGTGGGAGTTCCGTCAGAATATCGTGGCGAAGTGTGAGTGCTATACTCCGCATTGACCCAGGAAGCTTTACACGAGTATATTAGATGGAGGTGTGGTTAAGGTCAAGGCCCTCTTGGGTGTCCATTAACTCTTCATACGGGCAGATTACATTCTGACGCCTTGTTCAATCAATCTAAGAAAACCAGCTATACGTATTCGATCCAAAGGCCTTGCACCATATCGTTTTCAAGGTAAATTAGCGCTCTTGGTGCCTTTTTTCTGCTCACGATTAGTGTTCTATAGTATCAATATGTTTACGAAGAAACATCAGCATTTATTCAGTAAGTTTTTCCTGTTTCCATTGACTATTCATCTTTCTGAGTGGCTCCGGTTGCCTAGAGGCAATCGTGCCCTTTTCGGCAAATCGTTGTTCTCGACATTAAGTTTGTGTAAAGTTGGTACCATCGCCGACAAAGGAAGATGCATAACCCGGTGTTTTCTATTGCGCATATGCGCGAGATGGGTTAGCCAACCCCTCCCTTTCTTTTGGCGTCTTCATATTGCTGAATGCCTGCCTCGTCAGTGCCCATCTTCTATGAGGTGACTCATAGAGTCCGTATCACGCCTTCAACTTTTAATACATCAACGTGAGCGCATCTTCTTTTTCAGCTTCGAGATTCTATTTCAAAGAAGGTCGGCAACGGTCCTCAGGAAGTAAATGGCGTTACCCAAGTTTATTCGGATTCCTGACATAGTTACTTAGATCGACGTTGTACCGTGGATGGCTCGAACAGCGCTTGAATTGATAGGCCAGAGTGGGTTTGGCCACTCCTTTGACACTCTCGCAGAGGACACGGCCCATAGTTCATACAGCGCGGCAATAAAACAGCTAGGGTGAGTTTCCTGGTTAAATTCTCTCCAGTGGATAATTGAACTTCTGATCGCCCAAGTCCCGTTCTTCTGCGATTCGCATTCATACGTTCGTATTTTTGGTGGTTAGCTAATGTTGGAACCCCAAAAATGCGCCGCTTCGTTGTCAATCTCCTTCCGTGGAAGAGCTTGCATGACGTGCGCGACATCGTTGATACCATCTACAACACCTCCTTGAATATTTTCGAGTCAAAGAACAGGGCGTTGTTGGACGGGGATGAAGCTGTTGCAAGACAGGTTGGGGAAGGAAAGGATATATTGCTCCCTCTAACAAGGAGATATACTGGCAAATGATGACCATTGCAATGCCGATCGTAGTTGGCGAAGATGGTAAAGTTCAACTCCCACTCCTCGCCAGCAAGGCATAAGCCGCAGAACCGCAATAGGAACTCATCTTGTTAGCCCAAAGTGTACGACGTTACTGTAATACCAATTGTCACACCGAGGAGCGCATAGGTGCTAGGAGCGAAAATGAGCCCATAACAGTGGAGTCGTGAACCCATGCGATAGGAATGGCGTGACGGGAGAAAGATTGGGTGACGTCGAGGTGCGCGTGGGTGCGAGGAGCGTGTCATGAGCGTGTAACGGAACACGCCCAATGGGAATGGGGTCTGGGGAGAAAAATCAGACGACACCGAGGTGCGTATGGGTGACGCTCACTCGTATGCATAAACGCGTTTGATGGGAATGGGGTGTGGTCCACACCGAGGTGCGTATGGGTGACGCTCGCTCGCATGACAGAGGATGGGCATAGAAATATGACCACCGGGGTGCGTTTGGGTGCCGCTCGCCCGCATGGCAATGAAGAAACGTTAAGAAAGCGAAATACGAACATCTTTTCTGTGGAAAGACAACATTCCTTCCCCGCGTCGATGGCCAAATCGCGTGTTCAACACCTAGATCAATGTAAAATGCGAATGAAACGAAATCTGACGGTAGGACAATGAACTTACCCTGTAGGACGTTGAGCGAGTGATTTGAGGGGGAAAGGATGGAAAGAAATCTTACCATGGGCTTATACTTTGCTTATACTTATATCGCATCTGCCGCTGAAAATCAGGATTTGACTGATTGTTACCATGCATTAACACCTGAAAACGCGTATTTCACTGATTTGATCGCAGATCTCGTCGATGCGTGCCTTCGGGATGCTGAACACCCGGTCACAGATCCCGGTAACAAAGGATAAGCCATCCAACACTTCAAAGTCCGTTGAATTTGCACCTTGTTTGCACCAGCTGACCGTGCAAGCTATAGGACTGGCAAATCACAACCGATTGTAACGTTCTATAGTTTGTTCGAATCGCGTTGACAATACGATTCGAATGAACTATAGATCGTTCCAAACGGACGTAATCCGCGATTCCTACAGCTGGCACAAGCCATCAAACATATCAGAGTCCGCTACTAGTCCGCTGGATTTGCACCATGCAAGCCATTGCAAAAGGTGACGTCCTTTAGAGCGCTCGCGCCATCCCCTGAGTCTCGATCTCTCGCTCAGCGTTGGTTCCCAGCGGCTGCACCACAGTTTTCCGACCTTCGCGCATGCGATGCTTGAAGGGGTGCTGAGCGAAACCTGGTTGAAATTTCTTTGGACATGATGGGCTTGAGTTCCGGAATGTAGTCGACGAGAACAATGCAATGATTATTAGATTGCGTGTACATGAGTCCAGTCAATATCCACCCTGATGCTTTCGACAGTCATTGTAGTGCATTTCTTCTCAGCGACGCGTGCGAGGTGACTTTGTAAATCAAAAGCTCCAGATTTGCAATCGTCGAGCCGTATTGCCGTTGCTGCCGTCCCGACCTTTAGAATACTTTCACGTGAAATACCCCCTTCGTATACCAGCTGCCAATGCTCTTCGACGTTTTCGAGCACTAGACACCGCTTGGTTTCTCCCCGCTCCGTCGCATTCTTAACCGAGTCTCGTAGACAAGCAAGGCTTGAACCAGTCATGGTGTTGAGGGCCCTACGCACAGTTGTGTCGCTTGGAATATTCCCAAACCTACTGTAGACACGTTTGACGTCGATGTGTGATTTAGCGGCAAAGTGTCATCTGCCGAGCGCCAGCGCGAGTCTCCGTTTGCATAACGATTCCGCGCAAGTATAAAAGAGCTGATAGCCCCGACTGATATCTAATTGAACAAGATAAGTATGGCCATGTAGAAGTTGGGCAAGGAGATACTTATGATGGGATGGGGCCGACGTGAAGGAACCGAGCGACAGCCAAGCCGTGAGCAGTCCCGCGAGGATCGTACTTTTCACGAATAGGGTTGTAGATAGAATCCGGAGGAATTCTCCGATCGTGTCGAAGCCTGAGTCTCCTATGATCTCTTCCATTCGTTCGAATTTTGCGTCCAATTTTTGCGCGTTATCCTGTGGAGCTCGAATTAGCCGTTGTTGACTCCAAGATTTACCAGCGTTGCTGACAGGAGAGCTGGGAGTTGATCGCGAGGTTAAATGTGAGGAGGGCAGAAAGGTTTCAGGGGAAGATAGAGCAGGTCAAAAATTTTTGTACGCCCCTCCAGGCTCCGAAACGACGTATCATCGTCCTCTTAACGGACGGATGCCACCCTCGAACCCCCACATCCCGCCATGAATCTCCCAGACCTCGACACGACGTATCGCGCCGCATCTCTACGCGCGGATCGCGTATGGATTGTCGGATGGCGTTGGCCGATGTTGAGAACCTGCAAAAGGCAAGAATCAAAAGGTTAGTCAAGTCATTTGAGACCCTACGCATGAAGAAGTACTTACCCGTTTGTTTGGAGCCACCATCGCGTCGACTCAACATACCCATTTCCGCCAATCAGTATCTGGGCAAGATGTCTCATCCCCGCACTTCTTCTGTTTAAAGTTTTAGGTTGATGTATGCATCGGAACGACTGCGTGCGGTCAATGTGTGAAGATCAGGCGAAGGATTCGGCGTACCTTCGTCTTGCTCGTTTCATTGAATCGCAACCTCACCGCCTCCATCCACCTCTCCAAACCTCGTTATGACGTATCGACGTGCGGCAAACGCATCGTCGATGTTCTGGAAGTCGGTCGCTTGTTGTAGCTTTTGGATGTAAGTGAGTGTTACGTCGCTCTAAGTGCTGAGGTGATTACTTACTTTGCGCGCTACCACTTTCCGAAGGTTTCCCGGCCTATCCTACACCTTGAACGCTGATCCTTCAAATAAGATGTAAGTGTTTGTCGTTGTGAGAGTATGAGAACTTACCTCTGAGTTTTAGCCATCATCGCCTTCAATCCACATCAGCACAACGTATTGAGATCCTTAAAACATGCTGGGGATGTCTTTGATGCCCCGCCAATCTGCCGCACATTGTGGCTTTTGTTTTACGCGGATTTGAGTGTTGAATAATTACTTACCGCTTTTGAATGTCCCATTATCGCCGTTTATCCACCTCGCTAGTCGCCAGTCTGTCATCAAGCTGCAACTTATACAAATATGGTAAGGTCGTACTCATGGACTTATCTCTAAAGTCTACCCGTGGTTTCTGAAGCGCGTGGATTTCTCTAAGTGTTCAGCCTTCAGATAAGATTCTGACACATACTTTGCTGATCGATGAATTCGGCGGGACTATCCGTTTGTTACAGGTGGAGGAAGTCGTGCTTGATGTGTCGTCAACTGGCAGATAGATGTGTTTGTTGCCGTCGTGTCGATAGGAAATTTACGGGGAGGTTATAGCTACTCGTCCGATTGACTTTGTATTGAAAATTACCACCTACACCAGAATCACGGACATTTACTAACCTTCTTCAAGCAACTCAGTGGGTGCGCGAGGTGCTGCGAACCTCTTGAGGACGCCGTTGACGACGACGAGCAACGGCACATAGATACAAGTTCGCGACGGCACTTTTGCCTAGAGCCAGATGGACGGCAGGCTGCGGAGCGTATTGCAGAGTTACTGCACGGGTAACGAGTCGATGTGATGGAGCTAGTGCTCGTGGTCGTCGTCGTCGTAAAAGGCTGGAGCATGAAGTGGCTGACGAAGTGAATAAGAATACTAGTCAAGTATGAGAAGAAAAATACAACTCACCTCCATGGAGAGTCATCGGATAGCATCGAAAACTTCAAAGCCAAGCGTTAGCGGGGTCCGCCTTCGTAGCACGTCTCGCGCAAGTCAAGGACAACGTCGACAAGAAGTGTTCTGCGCCCAGGACTGGTAAGTCAATGAAAGAAAAAAATTGAGTTTATCCGAGACACACCGATAGCTGAGGTGTATGGCGATGTTACCCGACGTCAGGAACGAATCGCCTGCATCTGTCCCGGAGGCTTGTTGAGATATGGTGGGTCCGCTCGTCACAAGGCCGAAAGCCTAGAAGAAATCAACGGTGAGTACCTATGTATTCGCGCGAGATAAGCGGACACTGACCTCTAACCTCAGATAAACTTATTTACAGTAACTGAAAGAGTATTCGTAAGTAAAAAGCGTCCCTTGAATGAAATGCCGACACACCTTTTTATACAGAACTGTTGTTCATCGTCGAGAGTAGCGTCGAAAGGTTTACCTGGCCATATTCAACACACATCAGCATTCAACGACGGGAACAACAGCGACTTACAAGACAGAGGTAGCGAGGGATGCGAAGGGGAGCAGAGGAGAGGAGAAGTGGAGGAAGGGAATGGGGATTGGACGTTCAGTCCCCCGGCATTTATAGACTTTTGAAGGGGCTGTAGGAGCGTATTCGAAATAGCACATACCTATTGGGGGAAAAAGCCCGATGAGGGTGTGTCGAAGTAAGCAGAAGGAGCCGGATGGGTGAGGAGGAAGTCTGTGTATTCGTGTTTGGCTACAGTTGTGTTTGCTCAATCATAATGGTGACATCACACAAGTGTGACACTGATTTTCTCCTCCCTCACGTGGTAGGGAACTTATCGACAGCTCTTTACGACTCACCGTTGGGAGTTCCGCAAGGACATTGCAGCGAAGTGTAAGTGCCACGTCTTGTATTTATTACAGAACTGAACGAGGCATATCAGACGGAGGGGTTGTCCAGGTCAAGGCTCTGTTTGGCGTGCGTCGACTCACCTCTAGTAGAGGGGAAGAGTACAATCTAACACCTTGTTTAAACAACATAGGAAAGCCAGTTGTACGTATACGATCTGAAGGCTTTGTATCTCATCATTGTAAAGGTCAGCTACTTGTTATAAAGCCCTATCGCCGCTCACGACGGGCAGGATCAATAAATATATATGTCTACGAAGAACCATCAGGATTTATCCAGTAGTTTTTCTCTTCTTATTCACGGTTCTGCCACTGGCGGGCTTTTGCCGCCAGAGGCAACCTTCTGATCTTCGGTAACACTCTAATGTCGACGTTTGGTACGTGAAGTAGATACACTTGATACGCTCCCCGCTTTGATGTATTCTAGGGGATTATCATCGCCGGCAAAGAAAGATGTTCAACCCAGTATTCTCTGTCTCGACCTTCTGTGAAATGGGTTAGTGGAGCAGTCGTGTTTTCCTGTCGTCCCCATGTTGTTGAACGTTGCCCCAGTACCCACCTTCTACTGTGTAACTTATCAGGTCAGTATCAGGTTTTTTATATATTTCTGCAAACTGGAATGTTGCTTCAGCTCCGAGACTCTACCGTGAAGAAGGTTAGAAACGGCCCTCAAGAGGTGTGTCGCAATACCGAGACCTGTGCTGTGTCCTCAATATATTCTAGATTGTCATCATCTCGTGGATGAGTCGAACAATGCTTGAGCTGATTAGTCAAAGTTGACGCAGATACTCCTTTAATACTCTTGCAGAAAACGTCCATACAGTTCGGCATATAAACGTTTAGGGTAACCATGCTCGAAATCTTCATATAAACCGACGGCGCCAAAGTCACCTCAGGCTGGCTTTGCGGCTAAAGGTCTCGCTCATCCAAGCATACTTGTTCCACATGGCCATATTGGTAGCCCACGATTCCGCCGCTTCATCATCGACGTACTTCCGTGGAAGAACATGCACGATGTGTACGACATTGTCGATGCTATGCACAAGACATCCTTGGAAATATTCAAATCGAAGAAGAAGGCTTCGTCGGATGGGGACGACGTCGTGGCAAGGCAGATCGGGCGGGATAAGGAGATCATGAGCATACTAAGTACGTCACTCCGACTATCTCTGAACCTTTTCTATTGACGTTGTTAGTGAGAGCCAATATGGATGCTTCTGAAGAGGATAGGCTTGAAGATGATGAACTTATTGTGCAAGTATCGTGTGTATTCCCTTGTTGTGCGTCGCAATGACTGTTTCTGACTTCCTTGATTTAATAGAAACTTTGACATTCACTGCGGTGGACACGACGCCGAGCGCACTATTTCTTATAATCCACTTACCATCGCAGCATCCAGACATCCGAGAGAAATTGTGTCGCGAGGTCACCGACCTCCCTTACGATGAACTGACCTTGCACCTCCCATATCTCGATGCAGTTGTCAGAGAAACTCTTTGTCTTTACCCCCCAGTGCCATTCCTCTCCAGAGCGTATGTGAAAGTATTCTCTCCAGTTTTTTTTTCCAACAGAATCCTCAATAGGATGCAAGAGATCGTCTTGCCTCTCTGTAAACCCTTAGAAGATGTCAACGGACAACCCATTCATGAAATACCCCTCCCAATATACAAATGTCATGATATCGATTATTGGAGCCAACCGAAACCCTGACATTTGGGGCCCTGACTCCCTTGAATGGATCCCAGAGAGATGGCTTTCCCCTCTTCCCTCATCTGTCTCTGATGCACATGTCCCAGGAATCTATTCTCATCTGTTCGTCATCCAATTGTGCCGTTCTTCTTTGATTATAGTTTATTTTTCGTAGGATGATGTTTATGGGGGGAGGACGAGCTTGCGTGTACGTGCTCGTTTTTTTTCTACACGATCGCTTCGCCAAATTCTGCCTAGCGGCTTCAATTTTTGGCGAATTGAGTTAGTAGGTCGTCCAAGCGATGTTCCAACTCTTTCCTTATAGTCTCTCAAACTTTTTTTCTGGTTGTGTTATAAAGATCGGACTGTCACTTTGGCTCCTCCAAGGAGATATTCTGGCAAACGACTATCGACGTTACTCCAGCCGTGTTAGGCGAAGGCGGTATGCTTCAACTTACACTTTAAGTTACCAGGGTCGACCTCAGAAAGGACTGAAGGGTTGGGATGATTTTTTGGTGTATTTTTTCGCTGGAATAAACGTTATAAGCATCCACTTTGGGTGTCAAGGATGGTTCACCTGCCGTACCAACTTCCCCGGCGGTCTTGCGTGAATGGCGCCCTTTGGTGCCCCTCCTCAGTGCTTTTTACGACGAGTTGATGGATGGATGTTTTGCACTAGACAGGTTTGCGTAGATGCAATAGCCTTCCACAAACGTTGGGAAAAGGTGAGCACAGTGGGTTGGAATGCGACTGCCACACAAAGCGCACTCTCAGTTTCTGAGCTCAGGTAAGGCTCTGTTCAGCGACGAGAATACTGTACTAATACGACCAAGCCTTCACGTCACGCGTCACATTGGAGAAATTTTTTTTTTTTTTATTCGCCTTAAATCAAAAGAAAATTTTTCGGCCATCTCGGCGAGAAAAAAATTCCAAATCGATGAAGAGTTGGTCGTTACGGTCGTATTCTCATTTTGATGGCAGACGGTATTAACCGTATTATTCCCACCATGCCAAATCAAGTAGGAGTCGGGGAGGTACAGAGCTGAGTCTTAAAAGGAGTGTTTAGTTTTCCAGCTTTTTTTCCAAGACTTTCTCACGCAAATCTCTGACTCAGGCCACAACCTGCCCAGCGTTTCTCGGCTGTAAGCCCCTTCGCGGGGGCATGCTCGCCGCGGGCATGAACTGCTGAGACGAGTGTTCTCTGAGGACATGATAACTCTCAGCGGGTCGCTCAGTCGGGAAACGGCCGCGCAGGGGCAGGCGTCTCATTCCGAGTAACGGCAACGCTGGCTTCCTATCGAGTCTTGACTGCCGCGAGAGGACACTCCGCGATTTCAGGTTAACAGTCAGTATTCCGCCGTAGACGACAGTTCCTGCCTTAAATGCCTTTTCAACTGCAGTGACGCCCAGCTCGACGACGCCAATGCGCTCTCGAGAAGCCCCACGAGCCACGCTAGGTCACCGTCGGCCTGATTCACGTCTTTTAGAAGGAAGGGACGCCAGCTTGAGTCGGAGAGCCGGAGAGCGGGGATAACCCTCTTGGTAAGCTATCAGTCTTGCATTACTTATTCATTCAGCATTCCGTTCTCCCTTTCCTGGCCTCTGAATTCCTTGCCACCTTGCGTCTCTTGGTCTTTTGCCTGGCTGACTGACCTCCTTCGTTACTCAGATTCTGGTTCCACAATGCCTGCGCCGACCCCAGCTCAACGTCCGATTGGTTGCACCCAGCATGTGGTTATACGCTCGTTCTGTCCCGCCGAAGCTCAGAGCTGCTGAGCCTTTTCGTCGAGCGCCCTCTCCGTCCTTGGCGACGGCTCAAGCTGAGTAACGACTAAAATTCAGATCCTATCAATCTGGGCCTCACCCTGAACTGGCGACTATTTCTCCACCGCTATTTTCTTCCTTCTTCCCGACGTTCCCTGCGCCGTTACGCACAAACCGCCCGATGATTCCAATTCTTGGGTGTACTGCGCGACTGATTCTCATCTCGACTGCGTTTAGTTGACGTTGGTCGCAGCGTACAGGTCGCGTAGATCCGCCGTTCTACCTAGAGCAACGGTTCGTCGCCCTAATCGGAATAGACCGACTCCTTTCAATTTATATAACTAATTATCCATATCCAGTTTACGGAAAGGTGCGACTGTCGACCCACTGACACATTCGAAGTCATTGACCTACGTGCAGTAGCCACGTTGCCCACCCTCCGAAGGTGATCCCAGAGACAGCCTAGAGCCCTCTCAGTGGTTGGTTAGTTATCTTGTAAGCGATTGGATTCCTCAATTGTGGGATCCAAGCTCGTACGGAGATAATTGAATGAAAGGGCATGCATCGTCGACGCTTTCGGTCTGAGGGGGAAGTCTACGTAACGACTGTCCATCGGGATTTCTTGTACATAGACCCAGCGGCGAATTCTAGATCCTCTACGCAGTGCGTCCTCGACGGGGAGGGATGAACTTGGATGAACTTGGTCGTTATATGCGCGAGCCTTTGATATGGATTCGTTGAAGTCCGACATCCTTGGACGAGGAAGACAACCCTTGAGCTTGAAGCCAGTACCATGAGTCGGAGATCGGGTACACGGACGCCTACTTTGTAGCCGTCGACTTTGCTTGACACGATGACCCAGAAGTACGAACTGACCCGGAGATGATCGATGAATGGTTGAACTCTAGTCGTTTGTTTCTCAGAGCCACAATGAGATCGGGGACAACTTATTCACAACTCACCGTCATCGTATCCTGGCCGTTAACTCAGTCGTAGGCGGCTTTTCCTTTGGAAATCCCCCAGGCCATTAACCTCCCTTTCATCCGCCGACCCCATCGGAGAGCTTGTCAAGTCCAGGAGATGCAACGACGAAGGAAGAGGCTTCGGCTCGGAAGTCGCATCTCCTGTTGCTTCAATGCGTGACCTTCGTCAGGTTTGTCGTGGATCTGTCGGAGCTAGAGAAAGTGAGGACGAGGTGAGGGAATGGAGGAAATGTAGTCAAGCGACGTCGTTATCTACAGAAGGCGGATCGTCAGAAAATGGGACGACAAGTAAGAGACAAAGACTGACATTCGAAACGACTGAAGCGCACAGCGGGAATTTCGGGACATAACTAAGAGCTGCGGTGAAGTTGGCTGCGGCCGCTGGAGCTCTAGAGTTTTGAAACGCAAGAAAGTCTAACTGTGTTTGTTCCATTTCAGCTGAAAAGCAAGACTAACGTCCTAGAACTTACATGTCAAGACGTGACCTTGCGCTACGAATGAAAAAGAGAACAGTTTTGAATGAAGCCCAAGATGAGAGCATCCTAGTCCCTAGTCTGGCGCCTTAGACCGCTCGGCCATCTCGCCGTGTAGTCTTTGCAAACCTTCTGCATTCATTCTGAAAACTACGCAAGCCACCTGCAATGCTATTAACAACGCGAAATGTTTTCTTCTAGCTGAAGGAAATTTCAGTAAGGAAACGATCGGTCACAATGTGGATGAAATGCCCACCTTTCGACGACGTCCAAGCACATCCTTACGCCACTGCATGATTTCGCATAATCGCAATGTTTTGAAGGCGTGATACCAGTTTTGGGTCGAGAATGTCGTCACGTAGTTGTCCGCTGCGATGGACGAGGCGGGTGGACGCAGTGGTTTCTGGGGACCCAAGTTGCTTCCAGTCGCGGCCAGCTATCGATGTTGTATTGTACCGCCTTTTCAGGAGTACTTATTCTGTATCTTCACGGCGACGGTATTTTGTCGTAATAGAGTCTTCAATCCGACCCTTTTGCCTTCAAAACAAGCGTGTCCGCGGCGTATACATTAACTGATCAAAATAAAAAAGAAGTACTGGAATGAAGTCTACCACGTCATTTGAATACGGAGAAACCTCGTCTACACCCTCCTCCTGTTCCCACTTTCTGTCTTCCTCTCTCTTCACATCCTGCTCACTAGCCGGGTTCTCCTTCTCCCACACCTTCAAAGCCTCTTACGCCTCCTAAACGAGCCTCCCAGCGACCTCCCCGCCGTACCCCCCACCGCCCGGGATCTCCAATACCTCTTCTCCAGCGTTCCCCTCAGTTGCCTTCGGCGATGAGGAAGCCTTCGGGTCCGATAACGCAAGTTTCTCGGGAACAGACGCCTGCAAGGTGGCGACAGCACATTCTCGGTACAATGTGCCGGGCTTCAACCCTTTTTCAGGCATCGCGTCGGGAACTTGGGTCAACTGCACGGGGACCTTGAATGGCGTTGGGAGGAAAAGGGCGTGTAGCGCGGATTGCGTAGCCCTTTCTGGGGACTTGAAGAAGATCCGAAGGACAGGCTGGAGGAGGACGTAGCTAGGTGCTATCAGCCTGAGAACGCATCGCGCTGCAATGCAAATAAGACTCACGGGTACGGTGCGCCTTGCGTATCAGCCAGGATTTCAGTATTCGATCAAAGGCATGTCCTCGGAGTCGGACTTCAAACTCAAGGGACCCAATGCTCTTTGCCGGTTCTGGTTCCAACTGTTTGTCCAAGTACACTGTACATTCTATGTTTTCTCTTTACTTGTGTTTTTCGCCTTTTACATTCTCACCTTATGATAGACGTCACTCTGTGCCGCGATGTTTTTTCTACGCGATGTTTTGCTATCTTCAAAAGGCGTCGCGTAACGATCTTTCTTGGGCCTTGGCCAACTCTCCGCCGTGGATGAGACTTTACAAGGTTCGTTAGCGTCGTTCCGCGTTTGAACCATTCACTTACCAGTTTGGCGTAGCGTCGACCTCGTTTACAATGGCATAATGACGTACAGAATGTAAGTCATCGTAGACGAATCCCGATAGATGGATGAAGATGTACGTTGTGGGTGCGTCAAGTAACGTGACTTCACATGTGATCGTTCACCCAGCAATGACGGGGTAATTTCAGTGCAGGGGTAGCGTACTAGACGGAGCACTACCCAATGTAAAGAACTTCCAAGGTGTCTGTGACAAAGCTGTTGGAACGAGTCTACGTGAGCATATAATCATCGAATTCAATTGAAAAAGAGTGAGCGCAACGCACATTCCTGACCAATAATCTGCTGTTCATTCATAGATACGCCATCGACTGGCAAGCCAAGAAGGACAACTCGCATGCAACATCTTCTGTGTTGAATGTTCTGCTCGTCAACACGCAATGTCACAGGCACAGTTCCAGGACTTACAAATAAAACAACGTAACAACGGCGACTCCGCCATCGCGACACGTGCAATATGAAGGACATCTCGGGCCATTCCTATGTCCAGTGAGGTTGCCAATTTCATTGATCTTGCATGATCACAGGGAGTCAGAGGCGAGGAGAGTAGGGCGAGTCACGATGGACTCACTGACTTCCAGCAGTTCCGGCTAAAATCTGTGGTCATCTCAATTCTGTTCGTTTCATATAGGCCCGGAGTCTAATTGAGACTGAAGGATGGATCAGTGATGATAAAGGAATGTTTTGAGGCTGGATTCGATCGTAAAATTGCCATCGGAAGAGGTAATGGCATGAACTCACCTTCAAACCCTTATTTCGCAGCCAACTTGTCCGTTAGGGTGCCAAAGCGATCGGAGGTGTTGGGTAGTGGCACGAAGAGGGCTGAAGCACGATTTTGGCGTGTTCTACGTTGGATTGGATTTGCCCATGGTCGTCTGTTTGGCCGTCGAAAGTGATGGAGTGTGGGATGCAATCTGCTCCTTCAAGACTTGGGGGTGCCGCGCTACACCGAAGGTGATACTTCCCTGCGCAAGACCGTCGACTCCCTCGCTCAGATGAACTATGACGACAAGCGCAAGTTGCTCGTACAAGTCGTACGTTCCAACACAGCACTCCATTTTCGTGCTTGGAGAGGTTGACATTAAGTGCAGTGTCAACATCCGAGGCCAGCCCTTTGGTCAACGACAGCCACAGATACTCTCGAGTACGTCTGCGGTGTGGTTGTGCGTGTCCTAAACGGCGAAATACCATCTCGAGGTGAGTCTCCCTCGGGAGCCTCCATTCTATCTTTTTCATTATAGTCGCCAACGTCACGCTCATACTTTTGCGTTATTTCATCTATTCCACGTTGGTTCCGCATACCTCGCGTGCTGCTCCTCAATCCTTCTTCGCATCCCATTTTTCCGCATGCCCGATTTATATTCACCTCGGAGATCGTTTGAGCGGCGATGTGCTCTCTGCGTTCACCTCTTCTGTTCTATTTTCCTCGCTGGACTTTACAGGTTCATCACCATTACAAACCCGCCAACGGACCTCCACTTGAACACCATCGCCTGGCCGTCATCAATACCCCTGTCAAGTGAAACCCACCTATTGTAGGATTTTAGTCAAATCCCGATCTCAGATATACGTTGACCCTCATCCCCAGCCCAAAATTCTCCATCTTCGTCGAATCTTTATCTTCAAAGCATCTCAAGCTCTATATGCACCATCCCCGAAAGTGGGTCACTCCATTGACGAGAGGTGGAAAGTACCAGGTGACTGCTAAATTAGGCGTCGTAATGTTGTTATATTGAGATGGGGACGTGAAGGATCCCAACTTGGGCATAGAAAATTGCGGCTTGCGTAGATGTTACATGTTCATGCATTCTCGACCTCGTAAATATGAGAGCGCTCAAGAAATGTAGTATTTATAATATATACCTGTCCTGCCAAATCCGCCAGACCCAAGCCAGACCCGCCAAACCCGCGGAAACCCGTACCCTTACCCGCGGAAACCCCTACCCCTGGTTGCGGGTTCATGGGTGAGTTTTGCGACGCATCGTTCGCCATAAAGAGAAGAGAAAGAACATCACGCCGACTTTAAGTAATTATAAGTTGCAGGTATTAGGTAAGGATCGTTACGCCTTCCGTCACACAATGTCACATTATGTGACTGACAATCATCGCGTCTATTGTGTTTGTGCTTATCACTTTAGACGTTCACTATGTCAAATCGTTCGCTGACGCCTCCTGAACGCTCAGATACACACACGCAGCTGGTGGACGCAGAAGATCCTCCGACCGACTCGGAGGCAGAACGGCAATCAACCCCCACGCAGCGGAAGCGACGCCTGGACCATGACGACCAACCTTATATTCCCGATGTTCAACGCAACGTCAAAGATCAGACGCCCAAGAAGAGGAAGACCGCGTCCACCTTGGCATCCTATGTCAAGTCAAATGTGATTCGGGAAGCTGTGGCTGTCCACGGGGCGCCAACAGAGGGTCATCAACCCAAGTGCCTCATCTCCGGTGTCAGCGACAAAATGACAATCCTCGAGTTCTCCCATGTCATGGGTGGCTCCACACCTTCAAAAGAGGTGATTGAGATCCTTTTTCTGGGGCCAACGTAATCTTACTTGATCGACAACAGATGGATTGTTTGGAATGGTCTTGGAATAGGAAGTACTACAGTCTGAATGTTGACACGAGGAAGAACCTCCAAATTAGTGGGTGATCGTCTTACTACTGCTTCGACTTACTCATGTTCTGCTCAGTACGTGTCACTCTCCACCGCTGGTTCGACATGACAAAAGCGTCCAACCCGGTCGGCTGGTTTTGGCTCCCGGTTGACCTTGATATCCTCAGTAATATGCATGCCACCTACGTCGGCAATGTTTTTATCTTCCCTGTCCTCCCTGAAGCAAGAGACAAAATGAATGTACGGAAGGACCCAGAGTCTGTGTGTGCATTTCCACCCTGGCTAGAAGAACGAATACTGACCATCGTTAGTTCTACGGAAGATCTTGCAAGTTCCGCTATCAACTTATCCCTCTTTCTGGTATGGAGGCCTCGTGGTCAATCAAACGTTATACCGGCAACGCTCTTGGCCCATTCGATCCCAATCTCATAGAGCACAGCGCGTACCCCTTCACCAACCTCCTGCCCATTGAGCTCCATGTCCCGTACCACTTTGTCATCGTCAACACTGGCAAGAAACTCCGCCAACTATACGGCATGGATGCAATCAACTTTGAACGTGATTTTCCTTTTCTGCTGCCTACGCAGAAATTCGTGATGACAGCTGTGCGCAATATCTATGTGGCTTGGATGGCGGCGATGCCCCCGACATCGTTCACTGAAGGGGCCTATGGCAACAAGCCGAAGTCAGCTGCAGGGCAGACACATCTTCCCGGAGAAGCTGGATCAGACGGCAGTCCCCAAGGTGGGGGTATGCCCTACGGGGGGAAGGATGAGGGAGGCCAAGCTCAAGATGATGCTGCCGGCTCATTTGGTGCGATGGGGCAACAACAGGCTGCTGACGAGTCCCTCGCACCTTGGGACTCAGCTTCTTGTCTCAAGGCTTTTGAGCCTAAGGATGGGGGAGGCCAGGCTCAAGATGACGCATGCGGCTCTTTTGGTGCGATGATGGGACAACAACAGGCCGCTGCCGAGTCCCTCACACCTTGGGACTCGGCTTCTTGCCTCAAGGCTTTCGAGCTTGCCGATGAAGGGAACGAGGAGGATGTGGACGATTCGTTTGTGGATGACGAGGACGACGAGTATGAGGACGAGGAGTTCTTTGAGGGCTTGAAGCAGTGGGCGAGCGATGTATGGACCGCGACACATTCTGACAGCGCGTCTGATTCAGAGGTGACCCTGGTCGGAGGGACCGCGGCACATGTTTCCTGCAAGAGTCTAGACGTGCCAGCGACTTTGGAAACACCACCGCTTCTTTCCGTCCAGTGACTGATGACTGTTCAGTTATCGACGTACATTCTTGTTTTTCTGTTATATGACTGCTGTGAGGCACCTTGTCAAGTGTTTGTCTAACACTATTCCCCAATTTATACTCGGCATTCCTCTTGATGGACACTGGACTTTATTGGTCTTGTCTCCGAATTTGACACCGTAGAGTTTGAAATGGACCCGATTTCCATCCTATGAGTGCCGTCAATGCCCACAACTTTGAATCACATCACCTCGCCATCGCAAAACGCAACGCACAACTTTAACATCTTCAATAGTGCCATATTTGTTCAACCGCTCTCTGCAAAGCTTCTACATAGTGTGCAATTGAAGCAAGCGATGGGAGAACCTCCAAAGTCGGATGAACCTGTACTTTTGGCGGATGGACAGGACCTGAACCCCAAGCATAAACACCGTTGAGAATGAGTGCTTTCCCTTTTGGTCAGAAGCTGCTTAGCGACATTTAGATATTAGATTAAACCTATAACCAACTAATTAATATCCAATCTACGTTCCGCAGTCAAACATTGACTGTACCTTTTTTCGACATGGTTGAATCTTGAATCCCATGCCCCCAATGTCTGGTTCTTTGAAAATCCGATACGGACCCAGGTTAATCTAATCTCATCACCCAACTGACTGCAAATACGTGATGAAACCTGTGCATGACAAGACGGATATCATATTACTTGGCCAACCCGGAAAGAAAAGTCTGCCATTCACGAAAACACAGTTCTGTCTTGGTTCTGTCCATATAGCTTAAGTTGCTAAGAAACGCTTGCCTCGTGCCACGCAAACACGACTCCTGGCAGATAAATGTGTTCCAAGCGTCTCCCAACTCATTTCATGTTTCGGTGCTGTTGAACTCCATGCAATTGGAGCTGTATCCCTTGCTAAGTTTCTACAATTTTGGTTACGAGCTACGCTAACACACTTGCGACTAGTACTTCGGAACTTCTGATCCGGACATACAATTTTTGTGCGTCTATCAAGCTTTGGACTCTCTTGACAGCGTCGCCCTTAAGATGATTTTTTAGTAAGCCAACCAAAAGCCAACTTTCACCAGTTTTTTTTACGATCCACGTTTATATCGGCTTCACCCCGGTCCCATGAATTATATCATTCACTGGGAAGACAATAATTTACAGCATTCAGGCTAGCTCTCTTTCCATAAATACTGGAGGGTACGTTCCATCCCTGCACTCGGCAGTGTGCGCGAACCACTGGTATATCAAACCTTTTCCCCTTCCGCGTGTTTGCAAGTCATGGGCTTCTTCTCGTGGTCTGATGAAGACTTGATGGTAGATCGAGTTTTCTTACATGAGGTCACTTATTCTATGCATCGAAAGAGCTACCAAATCATGATTCCGATCCAATCTCGCCAACATGTGAGAGTCATTCATCGGAATTGACACTGCAGCACTCGTCTTGCACCAATGTTTGGGGGGTCTGTCCAGTCGCTTTCCTCTGGAACATTCTCGGTTCCGTGATTGAAAAAAATCCGCTTGACCCTCACCGCGACACCTGGGTTGGTTGCCTTCCTTACTCCGGCTATACACTACGACCCTTTGGAACACCTCCTTCAATGTTTCGATCGTCGCAGCCTCAATGCAGCTGCAGGTATGGTACCTGTGGGTCCGACGGATATCTGGGAAACACGGGTGCTGTGGAACTCTGAAGACCGAAATGTACCCTCGATTGGATATCAACAAGGAGGTGGGTAATTACTAGCATGCGCTGATTTTCTCCTTGACCCCTGCGACGTGGGTTTCGTTGGTGATCGCGAGGATCCCGTCTGCGTTGAGGGACACGTCGCCAACGAAAATCTGGCCAGCCTCCCATGGCATATCCGGGTGATATCATTGATTCCATGCGAGGCGGGTACCGTCCGGAGAGAACTTGGGCAACGCGTAGAAATCGGCGCCGGAAATTAGAGGATGGATGGATTTCCCCTTGGTATTGATGATACATAACGAGGTTACGATTCCAGAAGGGGTGTCGTCTGTATGATGGAAACGAGGAGATGGGTGTGTACGGGTGAGGCTCGAAATTGGCGTATCGATAAGGGACTTTGTCTCAATATCTGAATGTCAATAAAGATATCTGTGAGGACGTTATGATAACTCACCTGGCATTACTGGTTCTGGCTGATTACCATCCGAAATTCAATAGACGCGCCCATCCGGTAAATGTGAAAAGTAAATAACACCAGCGTGAATGACCGCCGCTAATCCACCGTATTCCTGAACGCCTGTTCGGACATTCCAACCTTCCCCGACTACATCCTTGTTTAATTTGGTATGAACTAGAACGTTCCGCCCTGCCTCGGACGGTCGGTTTTCGACACGGTAGACTTCTGAAGTAATGACGTCGACGAGAACATCTGCGATGCCGTTTGCCTTCAGGATTATGAGTAAACACGTCGCGTATTGTGGAAAATGGCAGGACGTACCCCTTTAGTTATGGCTTGTGCTGTAATAGGCGATGACCAAGTCCCATAGGGCGCTGTAGATGAGACCATTGGTATGGATCTGATGGTGGAAAGCAAGAGAACCGTCTATGGCAAACAAGTACAAAGCAGTGGAGATGCCAGACAGCCTCGGTTGCTCTTGCGCGTGCTCAAAATCGTTTTGCTGCGTTTCCTGTAAAAGTTACAAATATATTCTTATCTAAATTCACTCTCTCGACGCGCATCTCAGGAGAAGTAGCATATGTAGATAAGATTAAAATCACGTGCCATCAAGCGTCACCTGACGAATTTCGGACTNTCAGTCGTTCATTCAACACCACGATGATCCACCTCTTCGGCGACGAGAAATGACGAAAGATTAATCTTGGAGGGGCATCGAAAGTCGCGAGTCAGGCTGAACTTCTCGAAGCAGCACGAGGACGACGCAATGAGCGATCGGAGCAAAAACGCAAGAGTGATCCTGCTGTACGAATCCAATCGTAGTGGCGCGGAGTCAGAGAGGCGAGGGAGGTGAAGATAAGACTGAGGGGCGCATTCGAAAGGGATGTAGCTGGGTTGGATGGGCTTAGGTGTCTGGTCTTGATAGGGGGCAAGGATGAGGAGGCGCTGGGACATGGTCAAGCCAGATGGTGCAAGGCGAGGAAGGTGAGAGGCTTGTAAGGCATCTCTTTCATCGAAAGTAACTCTGATATAGCACTTTTGTTCTCTCCGGCATTGCAAGGGTCTGGGGAGAGCTGGTTAGTGCTCATACGACAAGTTTGCTACTAGTGCGGTCGACTTCGAGACATCCACAGTGCGCTCTCCAGCTAATTTATCAAGAGACTCTGACCGTTTCTTATCTTTAGATCATTGTACGCACCACCACACATTCAAGTCCTCAACCAACTGCTTTCCTGCGAATCGACGAAGCGCGTATTAGGGCCACCAGGCGCGTAGGCGTGTATAGCCATTACCACTTATCTCTTGGAACGCAACTTCTACACATTAATATCCCAGGTTATCCGACAGACAGTAAGCCACTTTCTATATTCGCATTTACGGGTTTCACGTTCGTCTCTAGCCTACGCAGTTCAAGATATCCCCTAGCCTCATTTCCCTCATCACGGTGCCACTCGCCACTTTCCCCTCGCCCTCCCCGTGCATCAGTCCCATATTCGCCCACATTTTTACCATTCCGCTTCTCCCAAACGGATTCCACTTTTCTCGTTGTCTCATTTCATATCCCGCATCCCATTCTCGGATCTGTACGTCCTAGAGCAATTTAGCGCCACCATAGCAAGTTCCACGAGTACGGAAGACAAAGTTCACCTCGTGGCAAACCTACACATGTTCATTGCCCCTCACTACTCGAAACTCGGCGGCCGCTCTCTGTCAATATATCTCCGTTTCCTTGCAAACATCTTGAACGCCCTCCCCGTTTCCGTCTTTGATCCTCCAAGGGAACACATCCCCAAGGTAGCCCACTTCGAGTACCATTCGGATTCAGACGATGATGAACCCAGGCCTCGCGTGTCCCTTGTTTCATCTTTCAACAAGCCACAACCCCTACCAAAACTTGATTCTAAGACGCTCACCCGCCGGAACAAGGTCGTTGCACCTGCCCACATCGATTCTTTGATCACCTCAACCCGTTCAAATCCGGATGCGCGGAAAGAACTGGTCGCCTTCCTTTCGGCCTTGACGGCCGTCTGACCTTCTTCGCGAGAACAGATTTTGGCTAAGGTTCTGGTGCTAACGGGAGGAGGATTGGTACGTGAGATATATCGCGACTCTGTAAGGCGTTCCCCCCTTGGCATAGAGGTGAATAGCAGCACTCTTCTGGGTACGTCGGCGTACACGTCTAAAATTCAGTCAACTGATCATCTCGTAGAACCAGCTAACGCCGTACATTGGCCACCCTTACTTTTCCTGTGTGAGCTGTACACTCAGGCGCTCCTCACGATGGGGACGACGA